TAGCCACTGTGTCTCCTCCCTCAGCAGCTGGTGGCCCAGGGCGACCACTGAGGTCTCTGCCTGGGAGATGTATGATGCCAGCTTGGACAGGCCAAGGGCTGTACCAGGAGCCCAAACCCTGTGCAAACGCAGTTCAGATAGCTGTGGAATGGTCCCGTTGCTCCTTGGACACCTGAGATGCACATGGGACAAAGGGGGAAGGCTCAGAGATGCCTTCAGCGAAAGGGGATGACGCTCATGTCCTGAACCAGCAGCTGCCTGTCACAAGGACGAGGGGGACAAAAGCCTGGCCAAGAACAGAGATGCAAATCCTGAAGCACACCCGAGGACCATTCTTGGAGCTCACTCTGCCTCCTGGGCCCCACACGTGGAGGGGGAAGCTGCATGGGACCATGTTGGTGCCTGCAGCACGGGGCACCCTGGGAGATGCCAGGCTGGGGACTGCCATCTGGAGAGATGCCCCTCCACCCCTTTGCTGACCTGTCCCTGGCACAGGTGAACACCCACATATTTCATTGGCCTGAGGAACCCCTCCAGCATTCTGGGAGGCTGCTGCAGCGTGGGCTATCTTGCCCACATAGAAGCTGTCCCAGGAAGATCTCCAGGGGCCACCTCCTGCCCTGCAGCCTTGTGCCCTACCCTGAGCAATGCTGGCGACTGCAGCAGCTCACGCTGCCACCCCAGCCCTGCTCTGACCCCCAGAAGATACGTGGAGCTGGGCTGCTGTCGCTTTCTGAGGGGACTGCAGGCTAATAACGTGGCGTGGTGCTGGCACAGTGCCTCCAGAGCTCCATCCCCAGGCCGTGGCACAGCTCCTCACACATCCCAGGCTTTCTCCAGCCCCTCCAGAGCGGATGATGCATTGTCAATCCTTCCTTAAATTGGCGGTGGAAGAGTCTCATGAAGCAGAACAGAGAAGTCCACGCCGAAGCACTCCCCCACTTGTCTTTTTATAACAGCCGTATCTGGTGCTCTGGGACGCACACCCTGAACGACAACGATGGAAAAATCCCAGGGTATTTTTACACCCTTCATCTTGGCTTTATCGGGAGCCGTCTGGCAAATGCTTCCCTCCTGTCTGTGGTCAATACCGCAGCCGCTGGGTGCTCTGAGCCTTCTTCTTCTTCCCAGCTGCCTGGCACCTTCTGGTTTCGAGACCAGCACCCACAGACCCATCCTGCCCGCTTGGGCACGGTGACAAACGTGGCAGATGTCTTCTCACCTCTTCCAGAGTCAGGGTGGAAACACCCGCAGCAGAGCAGGGACTCCTTTGGTGGCAGACCCACGGTGTTGGGTTTGTCCTCTCCCTCCTCTTGGAGACTCCATCTCTTCTCCTCTTCCTCACCAGTGTTCCTGGTCTCGTGCCAGGGCTCACATGCCACGGGGCTATCTTGCCACGGGAGACAGTGGCCGTGCTCTGGCTCATCCTGTGCCACCAGGGCTGGGTGCTGGGTGAGCACACGCCAAGGCAGTCGAGAGCTTTACCATATTAAAAAGGCAAGTGACATATGGAAGGTGAGGGGAGGAAGCTGTAATCAACTCTATACCATTTTTACATACACACTTCTGCCTTTTCGTTCAATAATTATAAATAGATCAAGTAAGTGCCAACAGTCCCCATCTGCCCTGTGAGGCTTGATCTGCTGACCAGCTTCTCTCTCTCCAAATGAAGATTTTATTAATGTGCTTCTGCCCAGTTCATATTTTGGGGTGGAGTGAGAAAGGGTTGGGTGGTTTTTTTTTTATCCCCTCCGTGAAGTTCTGGAGCATGGGTATGGGTAATATGAAAACAAAACAAAATGATTTGAAGTTAAACCATCTCAGTGTGTGACTCAGAGCTATTCATAGCTCCCCGAAGCCAGCTGCAGCAACGGAGCCAGAAGGATTCTGCCCGTATTATTATTCCAATTACCATCTGAATTAAAAGTTTGAGCAGTGATCAGCCCACATACTGATGGGAGGGGGAGAGAAGAAAGTGAAGGGAGAAGGAGAGAGAGAGACAGGGAGAGAAAAAAAAAACCCCAACAGATAAAAATGGGATCCACACAAAGGTCCCCAGGATGACAAAGTCAAGAAGAGGCATGGAAAGGTGACAGCATCAGCTCCTGCCTGCTCCCACACCACCCCAGAGATCCCTGCTCTGGTTGCACCACCCGGGCAATGGCACTGCAAGAGCAGCTGCCCACTCCCCCAGATCCTGGCTGAAAAGGGGGGTACCCCATGGTGGGGCTAGTGGGACTGGCATGGGCACTCACCCACTCTTCTCAGGCCAAAATGGGGCTGAGGAGACCAGAGGCAGGGGCAGGGGGCAGCTGGGCTGGAGTTTAAAGCAAGAATGCTGCTGGGGCAGCAGCTGGGGGGGAGTCCCTGCTTTCCCTTCTTGAGTGAGGCAGGTGGGAGGTGTTCTTCGTGGCTGGCATCACAGGGAAAGTTAAATGCTCAGAAGGCCCTTGGTATTCCCTAGGTGTCCTTCTTGGCCAAAAAGGAGCCAGGCTTTTGTGGCAGCTGGGGTGCAGACCGTGTCCCACCTGCTCCCAAGGAAGCACCGGGGTTGATGTACACCCCAGCAGCTGTCCTGCCAAAACCATGGGCTGGACCCCAAATGGTTGGTGCAAAACCCCCAAGAGCTGAATAAACAAAAGTGCTGGAGTGTCCCTGAGGTCCCCACATCCTGGTGTGGCTGTGGTGCACTCAGGTCACTTCCTCCAGCTTCCCAGCAGAACTGCACCAGAGAAAAGGGCATCTCCCCTAACAAGGAGCTCCCTTGCCAAAACATGTCCCCAGCAGTGCCCCTGTGCCTTAGCATCAATCCAGCACAGAGCTCCTCCTGAGCCTGTGCCAGCCTGTCCCAGAGGGCTCTCTCTGGAGTTTTTGGCTAGTCAGAGACCAGGGTCATTGGTGGACAGGGAATTGCCTCATCCCCCCTGCCTGCCTGCTGCACTTGCACTCCTGACAGGGCAGCGAGGGTCTGTTGGTGCCTCTGGAAAGCACCCAGCGAGGCAAGTGCCTGCAAATGGGCTATGAACAGTGATAACAACCCAAACAGCAGCAAAACAGCCGGTCCCAGCTTCTCCCCTCTCAGTCACACCCGCCAGGCACCAGAAACGGGGCTGAGGGAGCAGCCCAGGTAAGCTGCAAAGCTGCACTCCTGCAGAGAGCAGCTCGGCTGCTTCCCTACGAGTCTACCGGCTTGTGCTACGGCAGCTCGCTCAGCCGGATTAAACCTGAAAATGCTCCTGAAAAACCCACAGAGAGAACCGGCAGCGGGGAGGAGGATGGGGCAAGGCGGGCAGCTCAGTGCTGGGGCCACTTGCTGGGGAGGGAGAGACAGAAAGAGGTGAGGAGGGAGGCAGGAGGGGTCTCTGGGTCTTTTCCCTGAGCCTCCTGCAGGGGACAGAGTGGGGGGACGCTGCCTCCCTCGTTTTCTCCCAGCACCAGGCTCCCTCTGAAGTGTTTGGGGAGAAACGTTGCCATAGAAATCACGCAGCCGTCGGGCAGAGCGGGGCAGCGCCGGGCTGGAGCCCACCTCCTGCTCCAGCTCAAAGGTGTCCCCCGCCTGCCCTGA